CAGTTTGCTGTGAGGATTAAATGAAATGGTAAATGTATATTTCCTATCACACTTGCAGGCACACGGAAAGTCTCCCACCCCTAACTTAACATAACTGTCCACCTCTGAAGTTGAACTGTCTCTACAGAAACCCAACAGAGTCCCTGATTGTATTTTCTTTTATACATGTTTTGCAAAGAGACACGATTGACTTGCTTTCAGAAACCTGCAAAGTAGAAATTTTGGGGTTCTACTTTGAGATGATAGCCTTTATCAATAAAACAAGAAACCATCAAGATGTTGAGAAGATGTTCAAGAAGTTTGAAAGAAATTTTGAAAGACGTCCACTCTTGGACATTCTTGACTTTCTGTGATAGTATAGGACTTTGGGATAGAGTCGCCCCTCCAAAAAAGTATAGAGTTGATTTTTATGTATTTCCTAAATCTCCTAAAATAAAATTTTAAGATGACATATTCTTTTTTTTTTAATTTTTTTTTTTTTAAGATTTATATATTTATTTATTTATATAAGCACTGGGTATAGTCAGAAGCACGGGAGGGTGAGAGAATTCACCAGAGCCAGAGCGGGGAGCAGAGCAGGCAGAAGGACCGAGGTACACTGCTGAGGGGAGCAGCGGGCGGCAGGAGAGGTCGCCATGTGGGACCCTCCTCCAGTGGCCGGGGAGCCGTCGGGGATTGAACCAGCGCTGCAGAGGCTGCAGGCAGCCTCGCAACCCAGCGCTCAACCCCTGCGCCACTGGGGAGGCCCTAAGATGACATATTCTACAAAGAAAGTGAATGACAAATGAAAATTTAACTTGGCTTAAGCAATATAATGGAATGCCACATAATTTCCATTTATTATCATTTTTTACATTTCAGGATTTTCCTGTGAAATGGCAATAAAATGCTTAGAAATACATCTTGTTTTATTGTAGGCAGAATACATTTCAAGAGGCTTTCTTTCCGTGCCTGATCTATTTGCCAAATGCCTTGATTTTACATCTCCTATAACCCATCTGATCTTCTGCAGCTATAGGAGAGGCCAATCTATGAAAGTAGAATTTGTGCCTGGAGAGCTGGCAATTAGGGAGTAATGACCAGGCTCTGTGTCTCCTTGTTAGTTTCAGTTTGAAGCAACTTGTGGTCTCTCCTTGGGCCTTTGATCTGCCATTGAGCATATCTTTTCCCCCCCCTTAGTATGAATTCTGCCCCTTAGTGTAGGTAGTATTTGTCCTTTAACATTGACATAAATATGTAGCCCTTCTTTGTCTCGGTGTCACCGTCTGTAAAGTGGGGATATGAGACATACCCTGATCTACTTCAAGACAACTATGAGGTTTAAAAGAAATTTGACTTTTGGAGCTCTACCAAGGATAGCATCTTGCCTGGTCTTTTTTTTTTTTTTTTTTAGAGGAATTAAATGCTTTTCCAGTGTCACAAAGAAGTGAGGAAGAAGTAGGACACAAACTCAGGTCTCCTGACTCACAGACCAGCAGATCATTTGGTTCCTCTTTTCAGTGAATGAGAGATCTCTTTCTTTTTGGGGGGTTAAAATCATGCCTTTGAAGAAGCAAAGAACACTGCACCACTTTGCCTATTTTTAATCCTCATTTATTTTTGCCTTCTGTGTTTACATGTACTAGGCTGGCATGAGGGGAAGAAGACATACAGGCTAGATTCTGGCCTCCAGCGATTGAGTAAACATCTAAGAGCCTGAGTTCCCGGGCCTACTGCTTACTCACGGGATCTCTCTGCACAAGCCGTGCCACATATCTGGTTTTAGGTTTCCTACCTACTCAGTGTGAGGACTGTTCTAGATGTGTAGGATGATCACTTCCGATTTGTCAACATCAGTGGGTCTCTGAAACTCGAAACCATGTGCTGATCAAGCCTTCATTAACTGAAATGAAGGGAAGCTAGTAATCTAATGGAATATTTTTTAATCATTGTTTGTGACAAGTGTCACAGGCATTTGCTAACATCCAATGCTATTGTATCAAACCATGGGTGGTGATACTTGTTCAATTAACCAAATGGTCACCTTTGCAAAGATAGCAGAAATGAACATCTGATGATGATTAATATGGGGCATAAAAAAAATCAATATGAGCATTAGCTGCTATTCTTTGTGGTTCTGTTGTGGGGTTTTTTTTTTTTTTTTTGATATGTACTTTTATTATAGTAGGTCCTTTTTTCCTAAATAGGAAATAATTTCATAGTAATAGCTAACTTTCATTTAGTGCTTGCCAATGTGCCAGGTACGTGTTGTTCTAAACACTTTCCATATAAAAACTCTTTTAATCTTTACACACTTTTGAAGTAGGTATTAGTAGCAACCCCTGTCTTTGAGACAAGGAAACTGAGGTTCTGAGGAATAAGGAAAGCTTTTTCACGATTATACAGTTATTAGGAGACAGAGGCCTGATTGGAACTCAGGCAGCCAGTCTCTGGCAATAACACTTTTCACAACTGGACCATTGTCTTAATGAATGCTGCTCCTTCTCAGCTCTTGACTGTGAAACTGGAGAAACTTGCCTGCTAAGAGACCACAGAATAAGGAAGCAGTTGGATCATCCTACTTAGGTCTGTAAACTTGGTCACATCCTTGAGCATAAGGGCTTACACTACCTGCAGTGGATTTTCTGAAGTCCGTGTCTTAGGTGACCCATGGACATTTGCAAATTGTGGGCTAGTCATATTTCTGTGTCTATTGTTGTTCTTCGGTGTGAGTGGGTATAGGCTGCTTGGTGGTTTCCTGCACATTACCAGAGAAGGTCCCTGCCCTGGCAGGGTTCTAGCTCTGTGCAGGTTCTTGTCAGCCCTAATTCTGAATTGATAGTCAAGGGTTGGAAGTTCCAGGCATAACTACCTATCAAACAAATTGAATGATTGTTTGACCTATAAGAACCAGACTTTCCAAATGTCCCCTCACTACTCAGGGTTATGTTGCTGAAAGTACAATGAACATTTTTGTCTCTCCTTAAAGCTTTCTGAAATTTTTGTTTTATTCTCCCTTGAAATTTTGTAACATTGAGGTTTTTAGTTGTTTTGTTTTACCTCTTCCTTACTGGTTTTGTATAGAAATTAGATGGGGTGCCTCCCTGGTAGCGCAGGTGGTTGAGCACCGCGCTGTGAAGCTGTCCGCAGCCTCTGCAGTGCGTTTTGATCCCCGCTGGCCGCGGACCGACTCACATGTCATGGCAGACCTCTCCTGTCTCGCCCACTGCTCTCCTCAGCAGTGTACTTCAATCATCTGCCTGTTCTGTTCCCCACTCTGTCTCTGGTGAATCCTCTCACCCCCACATCTCTGGCCTGTACCCCAGTTCTTGTTTGCATAAATAAATAAATCTTTAAAAAATATTACCTATGGGAAAAGAAATTAGATGGTGATAATTTTTTGTATTACTCATCTAATCCATGAGTTCAGTTTCCCATTTGACTTCTATGAATGTTTTCTTTGTTAAGATGAGTCCTTTCAAAACTTTGTAAAGAATGTTATGCCATATACTAACATAAGAATGGAGTGATACAAAAATCAACTCAAAATGGATTAAAGAACTAGACATAAGACCTGAAACCATAAAATACATAGAAGGAAATATAGGTGAAACACTACGTGATCTGCATATCAAAGACATCTTTACAGACATATCACCCAAAGCAGTGATAGTGAAGGCAAAGATAAACAGCTGGGACTACATCAAATTATAAAGAGCTTCTGCAGAGCAAAAGAGACAATAACAAAAACAAAGAGAAACCCCACCAACTGGGAGAACATTTTTGCACCCAACACTAATGATAAAGGACTGATCACAAAAATCTGCAAAGAGCTGATGAGACTCAACAACAACAAAGAAAATAACCCAGTCAAAAAATGGGCAGAAGAGCTAAAAAGAAACTTCTCTGAAGAGGAAATACAAATGGCCAACAGACATATGAAAAAATGTTCAACATCACTTGTAATCAGGGAAATGCAAATCAAAACTACCATGAGATACCATCTTACACCAGTGAGAATGGCACATATTAAAAAAACTAGCAACAACAAATGTTGGCGAGGTTGTGGAGAAAAAGGAACTCTCCTGCACTGTTGGTGGGAATGCAAACTGGTCCAACCGCTATGGAGAGCTGTGTGGAGATTTCTGGACCTACTAAACATAGAGCTTCCATATGATCCAGCAATTCCACTCCTAGGTATTTACCCAAAGGACACAGAAACATCAATTCCAAAGAACACCTGCACCCCTATGTTTATAGCAGCACTGTTTACAATAGCTAAGCTTTGGAAACAGCCCAAATGCCCAAAAATAGATGACTGGATCAAGAAGATGTGGTACATATATACCATGGAATATTACTCAACATTCTAAAAAGATAAACACATGCAATTTGCAGCAACATGGATGGCGCTGGAAGGGATCATGCTCAGCGAAATAAGCCAGAAAGAAAAAGAAAAATACCGGATGGTCTCACTCATAGCAGGAATCTAGAAAACTTAAATAAGGGATCAGGAAAATGAATAACTATAAGAAAGTGAAAATCAAAATCAACAAAAAACTATGAACCAGAGACACTTTTTGGGGGGTGGGGGCCGGGAGGGGAGGGATTGGGGTCAGAATGGGGCATGTGCAGTTGTATGGGGGAATATAAAAATAAAATTTATTATTTAAAAAAAAAAAAAGAATGGAGTGATAGAACTAGAAAATCCAACAGGAAATACATACACATACATGCACACCGTGATAGGTAATTTTAGTTCACAGAAACTGAGTGAGCTACTTGGGAATAATTTTTAATTTTAATTTAAAAAATGAAAAGGATGTTATTTTAATAGTTGTCTTTTTTAAAAGGATTTTTAAAAATTATTTATGCAAACAAGAACTGGGGTGTAGGCCAGAGGTGTGGGGGGTGAGAGGATTCACCAGAGATAGAGTGGGGAGCAGAACAGGTAGATCTACTGAAATTCACTGCTGAGGGGAGCAGCAGGCGGGATAGGAGAGGTCTGCTCTGCCATGTCAGCTAACTCCCTGGCTGGGAATCTAACTAGTGCTAAAGTGGCTGCTCATAGCTTCATAGTGCCACCAAGGAGGCCCAATAGTTGTCTTGTTTTGTATCACCTATTCTGTCATAGTCTTTGTTTATAGTTGATTACTCTAGGTGGTTCTTTTCAGGAATGAAAATGAGTCACATATTTTGCTGCTCTGGTATTAGTGAGGAGACAAAATTCTCCTACAAAGTAGTTTTGTTATGCTTTTGGTCCAGATGAGTAATATAAGTAGGATATCTCTGTTGCTGTCATCTAGAAAACTTTGCCATCTGTCTCATCTTTTTACACTACAGCAAACTTTTAATGTTATTTCAGTGTGATCTCCTTTAATGATGTTAAGGCACTGCCTCTGGAGACAGGCTTGGGTTCAGATCCCAGTTCTGTCATTTATAAGCCATATGACTTTGGGCAAATTTATTTAATCTCTTGAAATCCTCTTCCTCATCTATAAAAGGAGAAAGTAATAATTATATTTTGCTCAAAGGATCGTGAGGAGTGATAGCAGTCATGTTTTTACATTTACTGTAGTCTCTTCATACAATAAGCAGTTGCTAAATGATTGTTGACTGATTGTTATTATTATTGTCATTATAACATACCATAATATGATACATAATATTATCACTATTAATTGTTATCATTAAATTAATATGTGTAATACACCTGGTAGAGTGCCTGGCACCTAAAAGGCACTAAACAAGAGCAAGTATTTATTGCCTTTGACTGTACATAGCTTTTGTGATTGAATCAGAGGTAACCCATGCAACATTTTTATTTAATAGACTAATTAACAAGGACAAAACTGTTGAATGGAAAAAATGAAGGCTCTACCTTTAAGTCAACAAACTTCATCCTGAGGTGATCCTGAAAGCAAACAATGAAATTTGGCATGCCGGGTAGAGACAGAAAACAACCTGGAAGCTGTTTGAAGGAGCAGCAGTTGCCTAGTCATGCCAATGGCTGAAATTCTGCTTCTCTCCTTGAATGAGTCAAGGAGAGGGGGCAGAAAGGTTACTGATTGTGTTCATTAATTTTCACTCAAAAGCTGCCACATGTTACCACATTGCCCCCCGGCACCAGTGCTGTTTGGCTGTCTTCTCTTTGCCCATGAGAAGCCAACATGTTAAATTGGTGGAGCTTACTAGATCTGACAGAGAAATTCTTCACGTCTGGCCTGGATGTCTAAGTAAATTTGGTGTACTCCGTGTGGTCTGGGGCAATTGCTGGAAGCTATTAGAATTCTGAACAAAACCCTCCTTTCAAAGACTGCTCGTTTCCTGCTGGGGTAATCCAAGTATCAAACATTAAGAAATATGGGCAAGGAGAATGTGGCTGCTTGCTCCGTGCAGACCCCAAAAAGGTGTCTACGACATCTCCCAAATGACAAAATGTTACTTCCACTTGATCATCTTGAGTAAGTGGTTTCTTTTGAAAATAAGAGCTCTACTTTTTCTACACTGTGTACACATGAGAAATGGTTGAATTTCCTCTTGTCATTCAAATTTAGGTCAGGGGCACTTTCTCCTTCCCTTGAAGGAGAAATCTGAAGTTATTTTTATTTTCCTAATCTTTTCCTTATAAGTTTCCTCTAAAGTCAGAAAGTACTTTCATTAACTGTGGTTGTGGAGTGTACACTTTTGACTAGGCTTGTTCAGTGACTGGAACCTATTTTATTAAGAATGCTTCATGGAGAAGCTATGGTTTATCTCATGAAATATCTAAGTTTGCCATAAACTGTTTCCTTTGTACCAAAATTTATTTTCTGTGAAATTCCAGGTGTTCTTTTACATAGACTTGAAAGGAGTAGATTTGAGAGTCAGTTTATATGTTTTTCCTAAGAAAAGTATTTTTTTTGTGTGATGGATTAATTGAGGAAGAAATCAGATAACATAGGTGAAATCACTGGGTCTGCATAGTGAAAACCATTATTTTAATTAATTTTAGTTACACTGTGTTGGTGCCGCCAGTTATATAGCTGAATGGTGGTATGTCGTAGCTGGATTAGCTTTTGGTGCTGCACTTATCGTACTGTGTGGGAACTCTTTTCTTTGACTTTACATGGTAGACTATAAACTTCTGGAGAACAGGGACAAAGCCTCATTCATCATAGTTTCCTAGTTCATAGCACCACATTAGACACACCATTAATACTTTAAAAAAATGAATGAATAAGACATTTTTACAAAATGTGAATGTTAGACCAGGTGGTTTCACAAAGTAACGCACTCGAGTGGGTTCACTGGACTCCCTCTTGTGTATTCAACCTCTTCAGCTCCTATCTGTGCTTTGATTCCTCCGGTGAGATGGTTTCTTTCATCATGAAAGAGTTCAGCTACATTGCTTCATAGTCCCAGTCTAGTTCCTTTCCCCATAGACTCTGTATGAGAAATGTGAAATGATAGTGCTGAATGGGGAAAATTAATCTATTTTGATGACTTTTAAGGAGTTCTAACTGCACGCGATAGCAAGCAGCTCACTTGTCAGTAGACAGCAGTCCTGTGTTATGTCAGGGGTCACGTGGTGCTTCACTCTCAGAGAGTTTTTGTCTTTTCCTCTAAGTTATGCTGACCTTTCGGACGAAAAAATTCCCCATCTAATAAAAGTCAGAGCAAATTTATGGACCTGCTCCTGACCACTTGTCCTGTATGTTTTAAAAGGGAAAAAATGAGTCTAGATCAAGATTCATAGGTTACTTTTGGAACATGTCAGTGGTGAGCAGGAAACAAATATTCCACTTTTCCTGGTTTGCTTATCTTTTCCTGATTCTAGCTGTTTGGTGGATATTGAAGCCTGGAGTGAAGGTTGCGGCTGAGAATGGTATTGTAGTTAGTTATTTCTCTTCAGAAATATAAGCTGTTGCTCTCTTTGCCAGGAGGGCCTCAAGATTTGGCACCACATAGGAGGCCCCAGGCGGGGCTGAGGTGAGGCTGCTAATGAAAAAGTAGCTGTGGCACGTCAGGACGAATCAACTTGGGCTGAGTGGAAAGGAGGGGATTCTGTAATTAAAGGCCCAGAAAAATGTGAGTGCTATCTTTTGTTGCCAACACTATGACAATTGCTCTTTCTACCTGTTCCCATGGGTTTTATGTCATTTTATCATTCATTCAACAAGTATTTATTACATGTCTATGCTGTGTTCTGTTCACCATATATTTCAAGGATTACTCGAGACAGCTCATAAATGAATGTGTGATGACTCAGATGTGGCTCGGGCCCTCAGGGATCTTGTCACCTAGTAAGAGAGATAACTACGAGGCAAGAAAGGCTAGTCCATGGGATAGGGCAAAAGGGCTTTAGAATCTGGTAGATCTGGGTTCAAATTCAAGGTCTACCACTTACTAATTCTTTTGGCTCCTAGCATGCTACTAATTGCTTTCAAGTTTGGTTTTTAGATCTTTAAATTGTGAATAATCCATTCCATTCTTGGAAGGTTTGCTTCAGAATTTGAACACAGCTGTGAAAAGGCTGTGTACAGAGTTGGCACTTGATAAATAGATGCTCTTATTATCTTATTGTAATTGCCCAGGTACAGCTAAATTCCTGTGTGAGTTCAGTGGGTGGTGGGGACAGAAGTGTCAGAGAGTTTTATGGGGGACCCACATCTGAGCTGAGCTTGGACAGATGGTTAGGATTTGGAAATGTGGTGATGGAAACAGAGAAGAAACTTTTTTCATGATATGTATTTTTACACCTTTCTGTTTGGTTTTAGCAAATAGACACTCATTTGAGGGTGTGTGTGTGTGTGTGTGTGTGTGTGTGTGTGTGTGTGAGAGAGAGAGAGAGAGAGAGAGAGAGAGAGGAGAGAGAGATGACAACTTGAAATTTTCCAAGAGTTTCCAAAGTGTGCACAATACATATGTTTTCCAAAGGGAAAGGAACTAGAAATGTGGCGAGGAGTGAGAAGTAAAGGAACCAGAGGAATGGAGAAGAAAAACGGCTTTGAAGCCTGAGAGTGGAGGTTCAAATTTTTGCTCTGGAGTTAGTTTGGTGGCCTTGGGCAAATCACTTAACATTTCTGAATCTTTCCATGAGGAAGATAATTATAATGCCTACCTCACAAGGTTGTGGTAAGGATTAAATTGGATAATGTAAATAGTGCACTTAGCTCAATGCCTAGCATAAATAGTAAGCATTCAATAAATGAGAAGCATTATTACTATTGTTGTTATTTCCTGTTTCATGTTAAAATCATATTGCTTTCCAAACTTGTTTCCTTGGATTAAGGAAGTAATGAGGTCTTTCAACTCTTTCCAGTATTCCATGGTCTAAAAGAAGTAGACGGTTCTGGTCATTGTAATAAGTACATGATGGAGACTTGGAAACATGGCACGCACAGGGCAGACCACAGGAGGGGTCCTTGGTGTTGAAAGAATTGGGACTTCTGACTCAGGAAGTTAGTGAGTTCCTTAAGAAAAGCTTGTTGATGTCCAGTGTTAATGGGAGTAAGTAGAATATCATAGAAACAAAGGACTTGATTGATTGATATAAGTGATCATTTCCTAGTGGAGCATCAGGAGTTGATAGACTCTGGAGTCTCAAGTGTGCAGCCATTGAACCGGACTCTATCATTGTTGAGGACACTATCACTGCCAGGTGCTTTTTTGGAAACTGGAAGCACTGAGAAAACTGCTAGGCAAATGGAAACCGGTTTCTCTACCCAACTTGGTAGAGCCTTTGCTCTAGGCAACCAGACAGGCTCCAGGAGACATTTGTCTTTACAGTGCCTCTGTAAAGTGCCTCTGTTTTTTTCCAACTATAATTTAAACTGACATCACTTGATTTTGACATTACGACAAGGTCTCTGTACACTTAACATTATGTTCATTTTCCCATGCACATCCTTATGGGAGATTGATGGATTTACACCAACATGGAAACTGGTTGAAATGGAAGACTTCCAGAAAATGATTAGGGAGCTTGAAGCTTTCTGAAACGGGCATAGTGTATATTAAGTCATTATTGTTTTAAAGAAACTCGTCTTAGGTTGGGATCTCTTAACCACTTGTTTTCTAGTTTTAATATTGAGTCACTAATTTACTAATGAGAGTCTGTCAAGACTAAATACCAGTTTTATGTTGTGTTTGCCAATGTGTAAGATCTAACCTGAAATGTGAGTTTATGAAATCCTCTGTATTAAACTTGGTGGAAAAATAGAAATGAACTGCCTGATTTCAACAGAAACTGCCAGTATACACATCTGGGAAGAAATTCATGGCAAGTATGTTTTGTATTATGCCAGGGTGGTCTATAGTGGGTCCCTTCAGTAAACAGCTAAATATCACCCTTCCCTGGTACATTTGCATACTTATATGTCTGGCCTGAAATGGTATACTCGTTATCTTTTGATGATCTTGTCTGTGAGGATTCACTAAGAGAATTTTCTCTAAAAAGAAGCAGCAAGGCATAGTGGAAAAAATTAGGCATTGCAGCCACACACATCTAGGCCCACATCCCAGCTTCTTCTTTCCTACTCACTTGGCCAGGTAGATTCCTTATCCTCCTGTTGCCTCTAATTCTCATCCATGTGGAGGTGGTGAAATTTATATGGTAATGCTGTTGAGAGATTTAGTAGAGATAATACAAGTAGATAATGTACCTATGCACTTATAATTGGTGCTCCCTAAAGAGTGGCTATGAAGACATACACATATCACCCAGTGAATTCCTCCCAGATTTGTCCAAGGCCACCCAGTCTTTCTTGGCTTTCTCTTCCCTTATCAGTTAGTGTGTGTTCTTGAAGGAAGTTTGATTTTATCATTGGTTCAGAAGGAGAAAAATAATTAGCAAGGCCAGCCTACTTTGAGAGAACCCATCTATCTGGCTGCAGGATCAAATACAAATGATTTTTGGATAGTCCATTATTTATCTTTCACTCTTCCTTTCATTAGTGGTGCTAATGGAGACATAATTATCTTATTTTGCTAAGTCAAAATCTCTTGGTTTCTTTAAATCTCCCAATAGCAAAAATATGTTGAGTTTTTATGATCTCTTTTAGTGCCCCAAACTCAAAGAAAGCCAGAGAGAGGGTGGGAAAAGATGATCAGAGAGGTTATTTACGTTCCCAAGATTATCAGAGTATATTTATGATTTTATTTATTTTTAAAGATTCATTTTATTTATTTATGACTACAAGACCTGGTGTGTAGGCCAGAAGTGTAGGGGGTGAGAGGATTCACCAGAGACAGAGTAGGAAGCAGAACAGGCAGATCTACTGAAATACACTGCTGAGGGGAATAGCAGGTGAGACAGGAGAGGTCTGCTGCACCATGTGGCTTAGCTCCCTGGCTGGGAATCAAACTCATGCCTTAGTGGCTGCCTATAGCTTGATAGCACTGAGATTTTAACCCCTGCGCCACCAGTGATGCATCTATGATTTTGTTTTTATGAAGACAGTGTTTTCTCTCTCTCAACCTGAATTGGAGATGTAGTAAGGTGATAGGAGAGATAGGCACTGAGCTGCTTTCACCAAATCCTTCTCTGATTTCTAATTGCCCTTAGTTGTGAAGGTGTCACTGCTGCCAGGAGACCTGCCCTCCACCCACATGTTTGCTTCCAGATTCAGGCTGGAGTTTGGATGCCTCTGAGTGTTTCCAGCTACTGCTAAATTGTGTTTCTGTTTCAAATGGTATTATAAACTCATAGTGTAAGAAGATATATTTTGTTGGAAGATTCTGTTTCTCTTTTTAATTTATCCCTACTATCATTCCTCCAAACTGTTCTTTAAAAAACAAAATCAGGCCAACAGATATCTGTATTAAGGAAACATCCAGAAGAAGTGAGCAAGCCTAGTTCAAAGTCCTATCCTGATAGACCCTACAGTCCTGTTACCATCCTTATGACTGGTTAATTTCAATACTTTTAGATGGATCCTTGCAAATCTCTCAGCTGTTGATGGAGACAAAAAGAAAAAGTATCACTAAAAGCTCTCAGAATTGGTTCCGGAAAAATATTCTTTATGGAAAATTCATTATCTTATCTAGAAGGATGCTTTGACATAGCATAAGGTTTTTATTATGTCTTTTAACAAATAATGTACTGTTCTCCCCAAAAGAAATAGAAAACCTTACGAATTATACTAATAATAATACTGGAAATATGTATGCATCTTCATTTTAACAAAAGAATACATTAGTTCATGGGAAGTACTCTCTGACTTATATTTAAAGCCATTTGATTGTTTTTTTTCACTTGGAAGTGCTCATATTCCGGAATGTGTTTATAGATCTTGACCTCAGATGCTTCTCCTGACTCAGAATTTGGAAAACATTCTTGCTTGAGGGACCCACAGTGAGTGCCTGCCCCTGCTCTAAACTGGGCCCAGGGCTGGTTTGTTTGGAGCTGGTTTTGTGGTCCAGGGGAAGCCAGGATGCTGATGCCCCAGTTTCTCGCTCAGGGTAAAAACAAAAAGTAGACAAGATATACCATAAGATCAAGATAATTATTAATGAATTATGTTAGTAAATTTGACAAGAAGAATTCTCAATAGAAAGCTCATCAAAAATATCTTTCTTTTCATTGTGGGGGGGGGGTTGCTTCTGTTAACCTCTTAAAGATGATTAAGGTCTGTAATTTGTGAGGAATTTTTGTGACTTTTTTGATAGCTATAGCACAATACAGGATAAATGGATGACAGTAGGGTCTCCTACTGTCCAATGCAGGTCCAGTGTTCCACCCAAAGCCAAAATCATCTCTGTTCTCCGTTCTCACCTTGGGTGGTTCTCATTATTGAGTGAGCATTTAATTCCATTTCTGAAATGCAGGGATTTCAAAATGAGGTAGCATTTCCTATATTTGAGATCTACTGGCTCCTTAGTAAGAAATGATAAGCAAATGAATGATGAATAACTTGGGTCTGAGGGCTCCTTCCCATATCTTCTTAAGGTGGATAAGAACCTTTTGACATTTTAGGAAGATGGTACCTATCTGCTCGCAACATTTCCTTCTAAGTCTCAATGATTCCAGTCTCTCAGGATATTGTTTCCTCACATTCTCTCCTCGTTCTCTGCTGGACAAGTTCCAG